AAAAAAAAAAAAAAAAACTCACTGATGCAGTTCTTATTTCCTGACTCCATAGAAAATTTCAATTAGACAAAACAACTAATGATCAAAGTTGCGCAATAATAAAGAATGTATACCAGCTAGAAAAATATATGAAAATGATACATCTTTTTCAATAAGAATTAGAAGAAGATAACTCCCCATCCACTCAAATCATTTTTTCAATGTAATAACAAACAAATGAATTAAAAGAAAATAGCATAATTAGCATAATTACGCTTAAGCAAAAGAAGAAATTAAATCATATAAAAAGAAACAATAGATCGAATTAATAAAAGGTGAAAATAAACAACAAACTAACTTAAGTACCAAAAGTTGAAAGTTCATAAGCAGTCAGAGTAAATGCAGCGAGAAATTATGTACTAAAAGCAATCGCCCAAAATTTCAACCTGTATATAACGTACCGCCGTCTGGTCCGTTAAATGCTATAAAGCTTTGGTATCTTTCGAAATTTTGAAGGCCGTCGGTTACTTTTGAAAGTGATATTTAATCATTTTGATGGTGGTAATTGTGGTGTGATTGTCAGAGAGGTGTGAATGCATTTTGGAGATGAGAAGGATTTAATTAGCTGAAAGAGTGATGTGATGTATGGTTGTCGAAAAAGTGAAATATGAATGAAGAAAAGATCATTCTTTTCAGCATCTTTTGAAATTTCTTTATTCTGTGAACTAAAATCAATTAGTTCCTTTCAAATGCATTATTTTATCATTTGTTATCTTTTAATTATCACTGTAGCATTTAACGCTAATGATAGAATATACTATGCTTAATATACTATGCTTACTAATTCATCTGATTACTTTATGCTCAAATTAAATCTGATTTATTGTAGATTTTTTTTTTTGAAATTTGATAAGCTAAAACTCCTAAAAAACTAACAATTATAATGTGTTCTGATTTGGTTAACAGTTTAACAGTGTGATTACTGATGTGATCGAGTATTAAACCATGATCAGTGAGCTAAAAAAATGGAGAATTTTTTACTCGATGTTTATTTTCAGGATAAATATGGTTAATGTTCCTTCTAATAGTCATTGTTGCAAATCTGATCAAGATCATACATATTGTAGCATGAAGAATGATTGCGGTGTACCGCTTACCCACCGACTTGCACAATTTCGCAATGAAAACATCGGTTGCGACGTTGAATTTCTCGTTGGGACAGAACAAAAAGTTAGTTCAAGTGTATTTGCAAACATTTTTTTCTAAGCAAATCTCGCAGACTGATAAACTACAGATTAGTGGTTCTATTTATGCTAGAAATTTGCACAGAATAGACTTTATTGGAACATCGTAAATAAATTCGCTATCGGATTACCAGATTTTTTAAATTTAGTAAAAGTGAACATGATGGAAGTGTTATGCTTTTCACTTGGTATATTCATGACTCATCTTAAACCCCGGGTAAATTTGTGACTTTTTTCAGGCAATTAAAGCTCACAAACTTATTCTTAGTTCTGGTTCAGAAGTATTTGCTACGATGTTCTACGGTAAAATGACACAAGGCAAGTTTTATTCTCTATTATTGTTCCAGGAAAGTGTTCCTCTGCTGTACAAGGACTGGTTCTTTTTGAACATGTTGTTTCAAAACTTGTGCATCTATATGTGTTTTAATATGATAATATTTAGTCATACCTGATAATGTATAATGGCTTTTGTCATATTCAGGTGATTAATGATGACATTTCTTTTTTCCATCAACTGTTCTTTTTAATTATGTTTCTTTCCTGCAGAAAAGCAAGAGGATAATCAAACGACGGTTGTAGTTCCGGATATCACCCCTCGCACTTTTACAACTCTTATTGATTTCCTCTATTCGGATTTGAATATAGGAACAGTTAATTTGGACGACGATGATGTGATGCAAACGCTCTACGCGGGTAATAGCCATATTTCGGTATACTGATTTCTATGCGTTATAGGTAAATCATCAAACCATTCGGACACATATATAAGATCATCGACGCTATCGGGATGCAGCCATATCCGAGTGCACTTAAAATCATTCATGTTGCTTTTAAGTTTTATAAGCGATACTAGTTTGAGGCTATGTACCTTGTTGCTTAACTGTAGTTTGTTTTGATTGAACTTGACCAATCTTTATATGACATATACATTATGACTTTCAATTTAAATATCTTCGAACTTTTTCACTGTTGGTATCTAATTTTCGAAAATCAAAATCAGAGATTACGCTGAAATCTTTTGATATTCTGTTACAAATCATTCTAATGCTCTACATATTTTAGCAAAGAAATATGATGTGAAAGAACTTGTTTTGTCTTGCATTCGATATTTAACGACTTGCTTGACTGCTTCGAATGCACTTTTTTTGCTTTCACAAGCACGTTTCTTCGACGAACCGTTTCTGATAGAGCGTTGTTTGCAGGTGATTGATGCAAACACTGATGAGGCTCTGAAATCTTCAGGTCATATGATTTCTCAGTTAAATTAAAACATCCCCATCGTGCAATAAAAATATATTCTGCATGAATAATGTGTAATAAATAGCTTGACTTTTAAAAATGTAACTTTTTGCTTGACAGTTTTATGTAATTTTGGGTAATTTTAAGTTATTAACGTTTATTTCCTTCATTCTTGTAGAAATGAATTTTTACAGGACTTCGAGATATTGATCGCGATACGCTTGTAACAGTACTGAAGAGAGATGAACTGGATCCGAGCAGTGAACTTGTTATTTTTAAAGCTGCACTGTCTTGGAGTAAAGCGGTTTGTTTGTGCCGTATTCCTCTCGATAATTAGACCTAATAGAAAATAAGCTTTATTATTTTTCAGTCTGTCAAGACCAATTCTAGAAATAAGCTTTAGTTAGAATACTTTAATATTTCCGTCATAGCTTGGTATGTGAGGACATATTAAACTATAAAAAAAAAAGATTTGTTGGCAATTTTCAATATAAGTATGAAATTTTTTAATATTTCGACTATTTTGAGACTGACATACAAAAAATTGAAGTATTTTTGAAATTCTTTTAAGTTTAGCTCGTGCAGTTTCTTTTTCTCTAGTTATTCTAAATTTCCAGTTCTTGAAATATTCACTTTTCCACTTCATGAATGGAGCTTTTGCTTTATGATTATAGCCAATGTATTTGGCCCTTAATGTGGAACAAGTTCCAATTTTTACATGCAGATGCGTTACTTATTCCTACTATCAACTAAATCAAAAAAGATTAATATGGATCATTAAAATGTGAAATAAATAGATCATGTTTTGGTCCAATCATAATGCAGAATTTCTGCTTTAAATAGTTTATTTTTCCGGATAATATCTTCATTTTTTATTCTTGCTTCTTTGCCAAATCTTTTACTCATCAGTGGTTTCGAATATAAGCTTTTGCCTTGTGCTAATGACTTTTGTGTGTTAGATGAATGACTTAAAGTTATTTTTTGTTTAGTTTAACATTAAAATAAGTTTGATGTCCATGTTTAAGAAAAGGTAAACTGAAATCGACGTTGGAGTAGTTTCAATACCTTTGGAAAGCTGATACTTCATCTTTTTTGACATGAGGTGTGCTAGTGTTGAATAGATGAAAATTTTTGGCATACTAGTTATAAATTGTGAGTTATTTGAGAGTAACTGATTCATTGGTCTTTATTCGACTCTTCGAGAGCAAGAAGTGGAGTTAGTTGCATTTACTTCTCGATTTTGCTAATTTGCTTTTTTTAGGAATGTCAACGACGAAAAGTCGAGGTGAATCCTTCGAATCAACGCCAAGTTCTTGGTCCAGTACTTTCACTTATACGATTTCCGTTGATGACAGTTCATGAATTTGGTGAAGCAGGTGCAGTTACTACTTTTTTTTCTGTCACATTTGTTGTTTTTAATTTTATGATTACCTTTTTTTAGTCAAAGATCTGGGAGCGAAAGCCTCCTCCAACCCTCATTTTACCGCTAAAACAGATTATCCTAGGTTGATCCAGAATTTCCTGCTTACTGGAGTTTTTTTAATTGGAGTGCTTCAAATATATTTTCGGTGTAGGATAATCTTTATTATCCATGAATTGAATAAAAAATTTTAAAACATATTCAGTTTTATATTTCAGCGTCTTCATCGCTATTAAACTGTGAGGAAATTGCTCAGGTGTTTCTTCACTTGACTGTTGTTCCGCGTCCTCCAGTTTCCTACTCGACACGTAAAATTTTTTGTTATAGTTCCAAGTTCAATAGATATGTATCGATTGTGTCCACTATGTTTTTCATTCTCAGAAAGCGGATCAAGATTTTGAATAATTTGAGTTGAAACACTACAGAGTTTCTTTAACAATGTCCTTTTGCGAAAATTATTGTTTGTGGAATTCATCTTTTAATCCACTAACAATAGTTC